TCTTATTGAGGTGGATGGTCAGGGGGCCAGAACATAATTACAAATAATTTGTAGACTGCAAATTGACCGCAAGAAACCCAAACTAAATTATTATTTGACAAAAATATAATCATTTCAAACCTTGCTTACATTTGTATACAATCACATATTTTTTCATTTTAGTCATTTAGCAGACACTCTTATCCAGAGCAATTTACAGTTAGTGAGTGCATACATTTTACATACTGGCCCCCTGTGGGAAACGAATACACAACCCTGGCGTTGCAAGCGCCATGCTCTACCAACTGAGCTACAGGGGACCTACATATATTTTTCTATTATGCGTGGGAATACTTTGGAGCAGATTTCCAAAATCAAATCACTTGGAGCTGATTTGCTGATGTTTTTACAGTCTTTTTTAAAAAATGCAAAAAATATATATATTTTTGGGGTCCGAAAACTTGGGGGGCCAAATAAAATCACCGGGCCGCCAGTTGGGAACCCTGTTCTAGTGGTTGTGGTTCCTTTATTATTGTAATCTCAGGAATGATTCCAGAATATTCTTTGGTCAGATGGGTGAAGGATATATTAAACCATTTAGAGATTGAAGTACTACAATGTTACGCATTACACACTATAGGCTGGTAGGGCTGGCCAGGTTAATGAATAGTGTTTGGCCCAATGGATCTGCCCACAATTACAGAATAAAACAGTCATCTGTCTATCAAATCATCTTTTTGCAATGGAAAAGTGTGGAGAAACCAGTCAAACTCCACCCTGAGTGAGTGCCTCTGAAACCAACAGGCTTTAATGTGACCGTTGGCCTTTGAACAGAAAATGAGTCAGAAATGCTTGATTGAAAGAGAGGGGCGAAAGAACTGTATGATACAGCCAGTGTGCTGCAAATTAATCTGCTTAAAGAATTACAACATTCCAAAGCAGAATCTCATATAATCATCTGGATCAAAATGTTGGTTGGGTATGTTGTAATTCGGTAATTCCGTTGCCCATAGTGACTGCACAAAAGCTGTGTTTCAAATGGTGTCTTGCCACTGTATGAGTGCCAACTCATTACAAAGCTATTATGCTGTACCAGAAGGAAATGTATCTTTCTGCTCATGGCCTCTTATAGTAGTAGTGATACTCATAGACACACATTGGGCTCACAGGTAGGGCAAGGCTAGGTTAATGAGTGACTAGCCTGGGCAGAGGACAGATACTGTATGTTATGTAGTTTTCTTTGACACATCCTGTGTGAAAACTACTCACTGTGGTAAGACCATCAGAAATACATTACAGATTCACACAACTAGGACCTGAGAACCCCAAAAGGATAAGAGGGTAGACAACGGATATTGTTTCTTTTGAAAGGATATTGTTTCATTTGCTGTGTGTACTGTATATTTGGATACTGAACAGCTAGTCATAAAGTATGTCAGATACCAAAAACACAACACTCACAGTACAACGTAAACAGCTCACATAACTCTGATAAAAAGCTTTTGAGAAACTCTCATTTGGATCTTAAATAAGTTATAAAGCATTCACATCATTTATCATGGGTTTCTTGTAGGATGTGGTTGCACCGAGTCAAAAAAGTGTGAAACATGCAATAATATGTTAATATCTTCCTATAATGTATGATTATATTATTTTATGTTGAGAGTCAGATGTTATGATCAACTAACTGTGTTATATTAATGGACAGTATGTACTCTGCTACAGTAAACTGCATTGTTGGTTAATGGCTTGTAAGTACAGTCGTGGTCAAAAGCTTTGAGAATGACACAAATACTAATTTTCACAAAGTCTGCTGCCTCAGTTTTGATGATGGCAATTTGCATATACTCCAGAATGTCATGAAGAGTGATCAGATGAATTGCAATTAATTGCAAAGTCCCTATTTGCCATGAAAATTAACTTAATCCCCAAAAAACATTTCCACTGCATTTCAGCCCTGCCACAAAAGGACCAGCTGCCATCATGTCAGTGATTCTCTCGTTAACACAGGTGAGAGTGTTGACGAGGACAAGGCTGGAGATCACTCTGTCATGCTGATTGAGTTAGGATAACAGACTGGAAGCTTTAAAAGGAGGGTGGTGCTTGAAATCATTGTTCGTCATCATTGCTTTGCACAAAAAGGGCTTCACAGGCAAGGATATTGCTGCTAGTAAGATTGCACCTAAATCAACCATTTATTGGATCATCAAGAACTTCAAGGAGAGAGGTTCAATTGTTGTGAAGAAGGCGTCAGGGCGCCCAAAAAAGTCCAGCAAGCGCCAGGACCGTCTCCTAAAGTTGATTCAGCTGCGGGATCGGGGCACCACCAAGCATTGATTATGCAAGAATGGGCTGCCATCAGTCAGGATGTGGCCCAGAAGTTAATTTACAGCATGCCAGGGCGGATTGCAGAGGTCTTGAAAAAGAAGGGTCAACACTGCAAATATTGAGTCTTTGCATAAACTTAATGTAATTGTCAATAAAAGCCTTTGACACTTATGGAATGCTTGTAATTATACTTCAGTATACCATAGTAACATCTGACAAAAATATCTCATAACACTGAAGCGGCGAACTTTGTGAAGACCAATACATGTGTCATTCTCAAACCTTTTGACCACGACTGTAAGCATTTTACTGTAAGGTCTACACATGTTGTATTTGGCGCATGGGACAAATACAATATATATTTATATATATATATATTTTTTTTTAAATCAGCGAAACAAACACAAAGGGCTTTCTATGAGTTCAGATAAAGATCAGAGTTTTGTGTGCTTTGGAGGTGTTTCATATTTAGGAGCCAAGTCACAGGACATTTTTCCTGTGGTTTGTGAAGTAGGCTATATCTAACCACGTAGTAGCACATGGAAGTTGAAGTAGGTCGTTTTCAGATAGATTCTCAGCTAAAACTTATTTAAGATGTAACCATACGTCTATAAATCAACTGTATGTAACTACTAAACTACCAACCCCTAATGACCAACTCCTCCACAGATGAGCGACCAGCCATAACCAGCAGGCCCAGAAAACCAGAACCCTGGTCTGATCAGAACCCCTTTCTCTCCCCCCGTTGCCGACTACTGACGCCCTGGGACCCGCCGTCACCATGGAGACGGTGGTGATCGTGGCCATTGGGGTGCTGGCCACCATCTTCCTGGCCTCCTTCGTTGCCCTGGTGGTGGTGTGTCGACACCGCTACTGCCACCCCCACCACCTGTTGCACCACTTCAACTCCAAGTCAGTGCCTAGTATACCTAGCTAGCTTCATACATCTGGGAGGGGGAGGGAGGGGTGAGTGGCATTTTGGATGGTTATGGATAGGGCCCTGAGTTTGTCCAGACCAGGAAAACTCTTGACCCTAGTGATGGGGTATGTGGCCTAGGCCCTACAGTACATTAGGTGGTGGTAAGGGGTCCTGGATATAGCTGATTCAACTGTATCCCACTCTTACCCAGGCCCAATGGACTGACCTGCTGGTTTGAAGCTATAAGTCTATGGATTGAACAGAGCGACTTCACAGCACTAAGGTCAAAATGATACACAGGATTAATACTAAGTCAACATACAGGGGCAAAGTTCTAGAGCCAGTAATATCTCTTTGTCTCACTCTCTTGCTCTCTCGCTCTCTCTTTTCCTCGTGTTCCCTCTCTCTCATACACACACACGCTTCTATTCAGTATACATTCCCTCCCTCTCACACACTCTCTCTTCCCTTCATCAGAACTTCTCCTCTCCTTCCCCACAGACCCAATGTTGACCTGATCGGTGCCATGGAGACCCAGAGTGAGCCGTCAGAGCTGGAGCTGGACGACGTGGTCATCACCAACCCTCACATCGAGGCCATCCTGGAGAACGAGGACTGGATCGAGGATGCCTCGTACGTCGGCCATGTGACACTGACATATGCCAGGAGTAGATCAGGCTAGCTTTTATAGCTAATCGTATAGCCTTCCATGGTTACAAGAGTATAACTTCAACATAATCATAACATCAAGTTAAAATAGGTGATACATCTCTGACATGATCATACAAAAATGAACCCTTATTTACAGCTTTTCTCTCTTTATCTAACAGTGGCTTGGTTTCGCATTGTATCTCCATCTTAAAGGTAATGTCTACGTGCTGTACACCCTCCATGAATACATTGTTTTCATTATGATCTAACTCAATGATATTTACACACTCTCTCCATTGGCAGATCTGCCACACCCTGACTGAAAAGCTGGTTGCCATGACAATGGGCTCAGGCACTAAGGTGAAAGCCCCAGCCAGCCTCAGTGACATCATCAACGTGGCTAAACGCATCAGTCCTAGGTAACTATCAGGTTACACAGTACTATCACATAACCCTTAAATTGGCTGACCGTTTGATGTCCTTCATGACCTCCCATCATCCTGTGTGTGTCTGTAGGGTGGATGACGTTGTGCGGTCTATGTACCCTCCACTGGACCCCATACTCCTGGATGCCAGGTACCTAATGAAGTTTGCTTTTGTTAGATAATATAATTTATAATGGTTTGAGGGGACAAAGATAGCTGGGCAAATAGACAATATAGACCATAGCTCTGCTGATGGAACTCATATGATAAGAGGTCTGACCTGACCAACAAAGTTACTATAGGTGGGGATGGTACAATATAACCCATGATAATCAGACAGACTTGTGTGTCAGTGTTTCCCTGTCCAGTCTTGATGGAGAAATTCTAAATATCCTTTGTCTATTTTGTCCCCTCAGGGCCACCGCCCTCCTTCTGTCAGTCAGTCACCTGGTGCTGGTGACCCGCAACGCCTGTCACATGTCTGGCAGCATGGACTGGATCGACCAATCACTGCACGCCGCCGAGGATCACATGGTGGTGCTGCGGGAGGCGGCGCTAGCGTCTGAACCAGAACGGAGTCTACCTGGAATAGACATGCAGAGAGAGCAGGCCATCTAGAACACAAAGACACATACATACACACATACACACATACACACATGTACTCACACATTCACATAGACACTGGCAAGCATGGCACATACACTCCTTCTCTATACATTATACAAATAGACACATTAATGCACATCTCGTGCACATTCTCACACATACACAATGTTTGATAAACACACAATAAAATAAACTCAACACATTCCCAATGCTCTTTCCCGCTGCTCTTCTGTGCTGATTTACATACAGATGGGTTGCCAGATTGTAGAAAAGAGCTAGTTTTAGAAACAGACGGGTTGCCAGATTCTTATGCTCTTTTGCTCTTGATCCTTTCACTTTTACCATGTTTCTGGTTTTGTATATAGTTACGTATAACCATAATGCATTTTATGATTATGATTTATATAGATGTTATGTTCCACACTCAGATTCAGATTGTATTGTAAGTAAGTGGAGAGATCATTGAGACAGGCTTGTGTGTAGTTGTTGCCATGGATGACTGGCCCCTTGATATTCATTCCTGTGTGTCTTCCCTCTCCCAGCGGTGAGCTGTAATCCGCTCCGTTAGGAGTGCACAGTCACATGGAAGCTTAAATTTAGTCAGCTAATCCATATGGGGGAAAACCCTGGACACCCAATAGGACCAAAGGCCTAGGAAATACATGCACACCTACTCAGAGAAATACACTCTTACTTAGAGCAATACACTCTTACTCAGAGCAAAACACTCTTACTCAGAGCAGTACACTCTTACTCAGATAAATACACTCTTACTTAGAGCAATAAACTCTTACTCAGAGCAATACACTCTTACTCAGAGCAGTACACTCTTACTCAGAGCAATACACTCTTACTCAGAGCAATACACTCTTACACAGAGCAATATACTCTTACTCAGAGCAATACATGCTTACTCATAGCAATACACTCTCACTTAGAGCAATACACTGCTACTTAGAACCATGAGTAAAGACAAGCCTCCCTATCAGCTAAAGGTGTTGGACGGTTTAATGCACGTCAGTGTTGGGTTTGTTGAGCGGATGAACGGTTGAATTTGCTGTTCTTGTAAGGAAGGGTAAAATGTGTGTGTATGGGGGAAGGTTTCTTGGTTAGCTGTGTCAAATGAGGCGGAGGTGAATTTGCGTGCCTTGTGCTGACCGGTGGTGTGATGTTATTGGAGCATGGCTACCTGCCTCTCCATACGTGCCTAATATTCTAGGTAGAACTGAAACCCAAGCGCTGTAATCACAGTATAACCCAGCTTTACACACATACTGGCCAGCCCTATCACAGCTCACAGAGCTGCGAACACCTCACCACACACTAGAGCTTACAGAGCAACTGTAACAGAGTTCACCTACTGCTAACCTAAGGGGCAACTGCACACAGTGATACACACACTTACGCAAAGAGACAGCGTGGAGACCGTAAATACACACATTAGAGTTTATAGGCAAAACTATACTGTTAAACACACAGTCAAGCTTAGAGACAAATCAGGCCTTTTTTCACTTTGTCTTTCTGAGAAGATATGCCTTTTGTGCCTTTTTCATTCTTATAATTCAATCTCTGAAATTCAGCCTAAGAGAAGACTGCCAGTATAACTGAAGCCTGCAGCAGACAAGCAGAGCTCTGTGAAGGAATGATATTGATTGAGATGAAACATGAAGAAAGTGGCCACGCCTTTATTTTCCTGGTTTCCGTTGTTTATTACAATTGATTGCTTTTGTACTCCTGTGTTTTCTCCTCCCCACCCACCGTTCGTTAGTGATGTTTCCCTCCTCTTTTACACCTTGCTCTTCATTGATTTGTACAGGTAAATTAAAGTTTCATAGGAAAATGTGTAATGCTGTTTCTTCTTCTTTTTAGTTAACATTTCTGAGGGAATCCATAGTCAGTAAGAAAACCACACACTCATGTAAGCTCTAGGAATAAGAAAATGGATCCAGTTGATTGATTGGTGATAAGGATGGTTGTCCTTCTGTTTGAAGGTATAGGCAGTCCTGTCTCTCTGCAAGCGATTGGCTAAGAACGAATAAGGCCCTAATGCACCATACTTAAAGAAGACACACAGATTCAACTTAAAAACAGCTACTAAGAAAACACTGTACACAATTGTCATCACCTGACAAGAAAATATAATTCTCTTAAAAATAGAAAATACAAAAACATTTTCTCCTCAGGATATATTGACATAAATAAAATGGGATCTTTTTGTGTTTGTTTAGGTTTTCAATAGAGTCCTTTGCTTTTTTTCAGGGTGATTTGTTTCCAGTTTGGGAGGGAGTCATACTCATCTCTCTTCATCTCCAAAATAGTCTGAAACATATAAACAAACAGACATTACTTCAGATACTGCAGAATAATGGAGAAAAGCAAGCATCCACTGGTCTTAGGGATGAACGTTTTGTGAAATATTTACATAGAAACCTACATATGTCACATTTTCTCTTAAACTATCTGTTTTTATAATCTCCAGACTACCACAATAAGATATTTCCATTGGCCATGTCACACCACAGCCATCATTAGGAGGTTAGTGGTGCACCCTAGTGGCTGTCAGGTGTAGCTGCACTCTGTTTTATATCATGTATATAATACTGTATATAACATTCAGCAGACAAATGTATCCAAAGTGTGCATACATTGTCATACATTTTCATAGGAGTGGCCCCAGTGGGAATCATTATCCTGACAATGTAAGGGTCATGCTCTACCAACTGAGCCACACAGGACTAGCGTGTTTGTGTGTCAACCTGGAAATCGTGGTCAGAGAGGTAGATCTCCAGGCGATGGGGGTCCACTCCTTCTGGCAGAGGGGTCTGCAGCAGCTCCTCCAGAGGGTACTGGGTTTTAGTGAGCTGGGCCAGGGCGTCCTGCACCAAGGTCAGCTTGACCCGCCCGGCCTCCCCCTGGACAACATCATTCACAAGTCAGCATATCTAAATCTAAAACATACCTGACTTTGAAAGACAAAGACTGTGGTGTTGCTATGACACAGCAGTCTTTACCCAACCAGATAATACTGAACTGTGTTTACTGCTGTTGTGAAGTTATTACCAATGATGCTGCTGATGTCTACAGACGCTATTATTGAGAATGATAATGATTATCACGAGGAGGATGAGCAGTCCTCTCTTCCTGTACCTGTGTGGTGGATGTGGGTCTCTTCTCCCAGCGAGGGAACACGTTGGTGAAGGTGAGGGGTTCTGCTCCATCCTGGATGAGGTAAGCCTGAAGGGGGCGCCTCGGGTTCCTCTCTAAAAACACATCCAACACACCCCAAACCGTTAGAGAACCACAGAACAACTTAACCCCTAACTACAGCATATCCCCAACACACTCCTGATAATGACCAACAACCATCTAAACCCCTCAGATTCAAATCTGGACCTCGAAGCCAGTTCCACTGCTTTTCTTTATTAATTATTCCCCTCTAATCAAGGACTGATTTGGACCTTGGACACCAGGTGTGTGCAATTACCAGCAGTACTCTGGACCTCATAGGGTAAGATTGAAATACCCCTGATCTAAACAATCAACTCTTCTATTAGCTGCCTTGCTTTGTCTACTTGCTGTCACCTTTGCAGTACTGGAGCACTGTCTGCATGGCACACCTCCTCTCGTTAGTCCAGCGGATGCAGGCTGAGCCAGCAGTCTCACTGTTCTCAGGCTCACCTGCCTGCCACAGATACAGCTCCATATGGTTGTCCAGCAGGAACAGGGCTGGAGAGGGATGAGAGAGGGGGAGAGAGTGAGAGAGAGAGTGAGGGGGTGAGAGCGAGAGCGAGAGAGCAAGAGAGCAAGAGAGTGAGTGAGTGAGTGAGTAAGTGAGTGAGTGAGTGAGTGAGTGAGTGAGTGAGAAAGGGAAAGAAAGAGGGGGATATTAGGGGTGAGTGTAATCTTTTTTTTATGTAGTGCTGTCCTTGAGCTCTTCTTGTCTATTAATGTTCTGTATTATGTCATGTTTCATGTTTTGTGTGGAGCCCAGGAAGAGTAGCTGCTGCTTTTGCAACAGCTAATAGGGATCCTAATAAAATACACAAATACCAAATACCTCAAGTCCCGGTGATAACAATGGAAGTTGTGTTTATGAGTGCGTGCGTGCATACATGTGAGTTTGGGCATTGAGCGGACACTCACCTGGCTGTGGCACAAAGTACAGGCTCTCCTGGACAAAGGGCATCGCCATGACAACCCCTGGTAACCTGGCCGGGCTCTGCAGCTCCTCCCCCTGGAAGGTTCCGGAAAAGGTGCTCAGATGGAAGAGACGTGGCGTGAAGTTATACTTCCCTGGATCTGAGCGATAACAACCCACAGCATCTCATCAACCTCTCAACCTTTCAGCACTCAGTCAAGTTCAGCAGGTGTATACCTTCTTACATTAGTCATCTGTGTGTTCATTTCAAAATAAGACATTTGGGTTGGGATATCTGTTCAGGTTATTCAGAACTTTCAGGCATTCTGTTAAATACAGTGCCGTGAAACAGTATTTGCCCCCTTTCTAATTTTCTCAACTTTTGCATATTTTTGATATTGAATGTTATCAGATCTTCATCCAAAACCTAATATTAGATAAAGGGAACCTGAGTTTACAAATAACACAAAAAATGTCAACTTATTTTATATATTTAATGAACAAAGTTATGCAACACCCAATTCCCCTCTGTGAAAAAGTAATTGCCCCCTTACACTCAATAACTGGTTGTGCCACCTTTAGCTGCAATGACTTCAACCAAATACTTCCTGTAGTTCTTGATCAGTCTCTCACATCACTGTGGAGGAATTTTGGCCCACTCTTGTATGCAGAACTTATTTAACTCAGCGACATTTGTGGGTTTTCAAGCATGAACTGCTCGTTTCAAGTCCTGCCACAACATCTCATTTGGGATTAGGTCTGGACTGACTAGGCCATTTCAAAACTTCAAATATGTTGCTTTTTAGCCATTTTCATGTGTGACTTGATTGTGTATTCTTGATCATTGTCTTGCTACATTACCCAGCTGCGCTTCAGCTTCAGCTCACAAACGGATGGACTGACATTCTCCTGTAGAATTCTCTGATACATGTCGTCCAAAAAGTTGACTCAAGTTTGCCAAAAAGCACCTGGAAGCACCTGGATGATCATCAAGACTCTTGGAAGAATGTTCTATGGACAGATGATTCAAAAGTATAACTTTTTGGACGACATGGTTTCCATTATGCCTGGCGAAAACCAAATACTGCATTCCACAGTAAGAACATTATACCAAAGTTCAAGCATGGTGGTGGTGGTGTGATGGTTTGGGGATGCTTTGCTGCCTCAGGACCTGGACGACTTGCCTTAATAGAAGGAACCATGAATTCTGCTCTGTATCAGAGAATTCTACAGGAGAATGTCAGGCCATCCATCTGTGAGCTGAAGCTGAAGCGCTGGTGGGTCATGCAGCAAGACAATGATCCAAAACACACAAGCAAATCTACATGAAAATGGCTAAAAAGCAACACATTTTACGTTTTGGAATGGCCTAGTCAAAGTCCAGACCTAATCCCAATTGAGATGTTGTGGCAGGACTTGAAATGAGCAGTTCATGCTTGAAAACCCACAAATATCGCTGAGTTACAGCAGTTCTGTATGGAAGAGTGGGCCAAATTTCCTCCACAGCGACGTGAGAGACTGTTCAACAACTACAGGAAGTGTTTGGTTGGAGTCATTGTAGCTAAAGGTGGCAAAACCAGTTATTGAGTGTAAGGGGGCAATTACTTTTTCACACAGGGGCATTGGTTGTTGCATAACTTTGTTTATTAAATACATGAAATACGTATGTAATTGCTGTGTTATTTGTTCACTCAGGTTCCCTTTATCTAATATTAGGTTTTGGTTGAAGATCTGATAACATTCAGTATCAAAAATATGCAAAAGTAGAGAAAATTAGAAAGGGGGCAAATACTTTTTCACGGCACTGTATGTCAAGGTGTATTTTGTTCAGGTATGAACAGGAGCTGAGAGGTGTGTTCAGTACCTTGTAACATGCAGTCATAGGCCTTCCTGTCCTGCTGCCCAATAGCGTTCCAGAACTCCACAGGCTCCGCCCCTTCCTCTACTTCCTGCACCCTCGCAGGGCTATCAATGCTGAGGCCCAGTTCAGGAGGGCACCTAACACACAGACAGCAGAAAGCACACATACCCACGTATTAATACTGTTTGTTTTCCAACAAATGAATACATACAGAAGCACAAGAACACATCCATGAAGGGAGACTTACATCTGAGTGAGTCGCTCCATAGCCCTCTTGCCCGCCTCCCGGGAGCTGGTGTGGACCTTACAGCCGTGCCACAAGTAGAGTGCCCCCTGTTGACTGTTGAGCAGTATGAGAGAGCCTCGGGAGCGCAGGCCTCCACAGCTGCAGTCCACCTCCAACAGACTGGCCTCCTCCGGCAGCTCCCCACGCACACAGAACAGACGCCAGACCCCTACAGGACACAGAGAGAGTGCAGTTAGGAACACACATATACACACAACACATACACATAACCAGACACACACACACACACACACCTAAATTAGAGGAGGTAAAGCCAAGGTAATATCCCACCTGTGTTGTTGGTGGTGTCCGCTCGGCAGCCTTTGTGGATGACCAGACCTCCCTGGAAGAGCTGAAGGAAACATGGAGGCTCCTGCCCCTGAGGCACCATCACCTTCAACAGGACAACAACAACACAGTCAGAGAGCCTACTGTACACAACAACCAAAGGCATCCTTCCCAGCAAAAAGACTGGTTTAAACTCAGGCCTCTGAAATGCTAGGCAGGTTTAACCATAGACATCCTATAATTTGCATGTTCTATATGTGATTCTATGGATTTAACTGAGGCTATGGGTGGTTTAAGAGTGTTGATAGAAGAACCACCCACCTGTGTTCCCTCATGACTCCTGAGTGCAGGTGTGCCTCGCCCATTGATACTGGAGTGCCGGCCCTGCCAGATGAAGACGGCAGAGCACTCCTTCCCAGGCTCCCCGCTTTCATCCACTGGGCTGAGAGTATAGGTCCAGCGGACCAGGTATGTGTCTCCATCATGCAGCTGCCCTGGGCTCTCCAGCTGGGCCTCGCTGTCCTCAAACTCCTGAATGTGCCAGGTATCCAAGGCAACAGTGCTCAGCTCCACCTGCCGCCCGTCCTCCAGGGGTACGACCCCATGCCCCCTCTGAACGTCCACCCCCTCCAGGACTGTAGGGACCACCCCGTCTCCTGGCACCGCCACCCCCTGCCCTGCCACCAGCGCCTTGGCATCACACGCACACAGAGACACACACTCTAAATGCTGCTGGGGCTGCTGGGGCAGGGGACTATGCTGGGGCAACACTGGCATGGCAGTCTGCACAGAGATACACAGTAGAGAGAGAAATGTAGGAAGGGAGAGGAAGACCAGACATCTTTCTCACAGTCACTCTGAGTCTGTACAGGATGGGTCCTATTTGGCTTTGAGTCATGTGTTTCGCACATTGACTAGGTACTGGTACTAGGTACCCCCTGTATATAGTCTCGTTATTATTTTTTTATTGTTACTTTTTAAATTATTTAGTAAATCTTTTCTTAACTCTTATTTTTCTTAAAACGTCATGTTGGTTAAGGGCTTGTAAGTAAGCATTTCACTGTAAGGTCTACAGCTGTTGTATTCAGCGCATGTGACAAATAAAAATGGATTTGATTAGATTTGTCTCTAACTAACCTGTGCCTCCTCCACCACCATTGCAGCGGTATCCTCCTTATCTACAGCCCAGTCCAGAAACTTCTCCCTGAAGAGGGCTGTCTCGTTGTGCTCAGAGACACAGCCAAACAGGGCCCAGTCTGGCCGTCTTTCACCTTGCCTGTACACAAATCACATACAGTTGAAGTCGGAAGTTTACATACACCTTAGCCAAATACATTTAAACTCTGTTTTTTACAATTCCTGACATTTAATCCTAGTAAAAATTCCCTGTTTTAGGTCAGTTAGGATCACCACTTTATTTAAAGAACGTGAAATGTCAGAATAATAGTAGAGAGAATTATTTCTTTCAGCTTTTATTTCTTTCATCACATTCCCAGTGGGTCAGAAGTTTACATACACTCAATTAGTATTTGGTAGCATTGCCTTTAAATTGTTTAACTTGGGTCAAACATTTCGGGTAACCTTCCACAAGCTTCCCACAATAAGTTGGGTGAATTTTGGCCCATTCCTCCTGATAGAGCTGGTGTAACTGAGTCAGGTTTGTAGGCCTCCTTGCTCGCACACGCTTTTTCAGTTCTGCCCACAAATGTTCTATAGGATTGAGGTCAATACCTTGACTTTGTTGTCCTTAAGCCATTTTGCCACAACTTTGGAAGTATGCTTGGGGTCATTGTCCATTTGGAAGACCCATTTGCGACCACGCTTTAACTTCCTGACTGATGTCTTGAGAAGTTGCTTCAATATATCCACATAATTTTCCTTCCTCATGATGCCATCTATTTTGTGAAGTGCACCAGTCCCTCCTGCAGCAAAGCACCCCCACAGCATGATGCTGCCACCCCCGTGCTTCACAGTTGGGATGGTGTTTTTCGGCTTGCAAGCCTTCCCCTTTTTCCTCCAAACATAACGATGGTCATTATGGCCAAACAGTTATATTTTTGTTTCATCAGACCAGAGGACATTTCTCCAAAAAGTACGATCTTTGTCCCCATGTGCAGTTGCAAACCGTAGTCTGGCTTTTTTATGGCGGTTTTGGAGCAGTGGCTTCTTCCTTGGTGAGCGGCCTTTCAGGTTATGTCGATATAGGACTTGTTTTACTGTGGATATAGATACTTTTGTACCTGTTTCCTCCAGCATCTTCACAAGGTCCTTTGCTGTTGTTCTGGGATTGATTTGCACTTTTCGCACCAAAGTGCGTTAATCTCTAGGAGACAGAACGCGTCTCCTTCCTGAGCGGTATGACGCCTGCGTGGTCCCATGGTGTTTATACTTGCGTACTATTGTTTGTACAGATGAACGTGGTACCTTCAGGTGTTTGGAAATTGCTCCCAAGGATGAACCAGACTTGTGGAGGTCTACAATTTTCTTTCTGAGGTCTTGGCTGATTTCTTTTGATTTTCCCATGATGTCAAGCAAAGAGGCACTGAGTTTGAAGGTAGGCCTTGAAATACATCCACAAGTACACCTCCAATTGACTCAAATTATGTCAATTAGCCTATCAGAAGCTTCTAAAGCCATGACATAATTTTCTGGAATTTCCCAAGCTGTTTAAAGGCACAGTCAACTTAGTGTATGTAAACTTCTGACCCACTGGAATTGTGATACAGTGAATTATAAGTGAAATAATCTGTCTGTAAACAATTGTTGGAAAATTACTTGTGTCATGGCACAAAGTAGATGCCAAAGCTATAGTTTGTCAACAAGACATTTGTGGAGTGGCTGAAAAACTAGTTTTAATGACTCCAACCTAAGTGTATGTAAACCTCAGACTTCAACTGTACATAATGTATCAATGAATACAACAGTATGTATTTAAATTACTTATTTTACTATGTAAGCGCCTGTGTGGTGTTTACGTACGGCTGTATGTTGGGGTTGCAGTGTGTGGGGTCCAGTGGGTTGACCCTACAGTTGCTGTAGTCGTAGGGACCACCCCACACCTGCTGGGCCAGCTGTACAGCCACACTCCTGTCGCCAGGGGCAACATCCTTCCCATGCCACAGGTACACCTCGCTGCCAAAGTCAAACACCAGGGCCTGGTAGAGAGACAGGGGAACAGACAGAGACAGAGAGAGAGGCAGAGAGAGACAACCATTCAGAGATCAGCTACTATCTGTAGTGTTGAAAACTGACAGGAATCACACAAAAGTTGATAGATAGCATACCAGTTTATAATCTTTATATTGAGTTAAAACCCATTGATATGTAGCACCAAGGCAGCAATGGCTGAGAAGCAACAGAGACACACAGGGGGATCCAGGGAGGGACTGACCTCCGTGGATCCCAGTAGGGAGACAGTGGGGATGGCTGCCCAGGCCTGCTCATGGGGCACCAGTCTGTTCTCCACCAGCCTGTACAAACAGTTAGACTCCACCACCCCACTCTCATACAGCTCATCCTCCTCTGGGGCTCCCGCTCCTACAGTAAACACACACATATACAATCCCACATACAGTACACAAAGACAGATGCAAATGGTTACTTCCTGGTTGCTTGCATACTTACATACTTGGTTTACTGACTGACTGACTTAGTTTACTGACTGACTGACTGACTTAGTTTACTGACTGACTGACTTCATTACTTAGTTTACTGACTGACTGACTGACTTAGTTTACTTACTTACTGACTTACTTACCTAAAAGGGCGTTCTGGTTGTTTTAATAGGATTGATACATAGTTTGTACAGTTCTTATGGTTTTGTCTACTAAGTGAGAGACAGAGTGGTTGGTGACTAGTTGTAGTCTGACCTCTGTATTGTGTCTTTCCTCCCAGAAGGTTCCAGAAGTCAGAGGCCAGGCTGTTGTCAGTATTGACCCCCTCCTCTAGGTGGATGACCTCACAGGCCCGGCAGCCCAGGTCTCCCTGGGTCTGGATCAACGATGCCAGCTCTGACGCCTGGACAGAGACAGCAGAAGGCAGGCAAACATCATCACCAGTAATAACTGACATTTATCAGTGGCTTCACATTGTGTTTAAATGTAGCGTGTAAAATGTACTTCAATAGCATACATGGCTTGAATTACAGATGAATAAGATGCCCAACAGGAATAAACCATGAACAATACAGGCCAGGGATCTAGTTAGTGGCCAAGGAATAGAGTCAGTATGTGATACAATGTGTGTAGTGTCCCAGTCGTACCTTGGCTTTCTCTGTGGTGTTGGCGAACGCTCCGCTCCAGAGGATGCAGTGAGAGGGTGTCACCAGAAGGTGGCAGTCTCCACTGTTCAGAGACCTGGCTGTGGGCTCCACCAGACGCACTTGCACATGATGCCGACCTGGCACCGTAGGAGACACACACACATGTTGAATGGAGAGTTTGTATCCACACACACAGACATGCACACGCACACTCATAAACGCAATCATATGCACACACACATGCACGATCTGTACTGACCTTTGATGTGAATGAGCATGAGGTTGCTGATGGGCAGGTTGTTGTTGTTCGTCACTGAGCCTGTGGAAGTGACATCACGCAGGTTGACGTTACTGAAGTTGTCTGTACCGGACAGACCTGCTAGAGCTGAGTCAGCCATGTTGGAATTCTTGGCCACTGAGGACAGACATGGGACAGAGAGATCAGAGATGAGAAAGTCACAGTATATAAACGGTATATAAGCAGATTGAGAAAAAAAAAAGAGACAGAGAGAGACAGAGAGATAGAGATAGAGAGAAAGAGAGAGAGAGAGAGAAATATAGAGAGAAAGAGAGAAGGAGCAAGAGAGAGAGAGATATCTCTCTGGTATATGTAAACATGACTCACTCATCTCCACTTGTGTCCTGTTAGTGTTAACGGTAGCCATGGTGACTCTCTCTCCCATGTAGTTCTGTCTGATGTCATCGCGGGCCGCCAGAGCACGCAGAGGGTTCCGGGAGCCCTGGGTCCTGCGGTACGGACGCACCGACCGCCTATGCTGTGCTACCTCTGATGTCAGCCTGCACACACACACACACACACACACACCACAGACACCACGAAGAGGCATTAAGAGACAAACACACACAAAGAACACACTCAATCAATTAGATAGATAGAAGCGTACACGTAAACACATACACACAACCATGCACACCTCCCCCCAACACACACACACACAGACTCACATGGGGGTATTTGTCTGGCAGAGGGCACTCAGGTCCTGCTCTGGGTCAGTTCCAGTGGCAGCTCCAGCCCCAGCAGGGCGGGCAGAGGGTGAGGGGGGTGACACCTCCCTGTAGAAACCACCACACGTCTCCTGGTCATCGGGGGTCATGACCTCCTTCACCTCCCTTGAGGTCACCTCCAGGGGCGTGTCCTGGGGAGCGGCTGGGGGAGGAGAGGGGGAAAACATGAGAGAAGTTACAGGTATTCCACTTCATTGGGATACTCAAAGCATCACTGAGCAAAACACAGGAAGTTAGACAATAGACACCAGTGGATAGACTTCCTCTCTTAATCTGAGGTTTGGACAAATCATCCTAGAATCGATAATAAGACGTACCATTCAGCCTGTCCACAAAGGAATCCAGTTTGTCCAGCTTTGTGTCCTCTTCCACCTCCATCCCAGGGTGACTGGAGATCTCTGTTTAGAGGAGAACCAGAGGTCAGGGAAGAGGATCTACAATCACAAACCAGACACAAACATATTTTCTCTTTTGTAGATGTGGTAGTTTTACCTTCGTATGGGCATGCTGTGGCTGTGGCTCCTGTGGAGGGTCTCTTAGTGTGAGATGGAGGGGTCTCGTCTATGTCTGACACAGGGAACACCAAACCTGCAGTGGGACAATCACACACAGGTCTGAGTGAGGGAAAGAGAGAGAGAGAGAAGGGGGAGAGAGAGCGAGAGAGAGAGAGAGAGAGAGAGAGAGAGAGAGAGAGAGAGAGAGAGAGAGAGAGAGAGAGAGAGAGAGAGAGAGAGAGAGAGAGAAGGGGGGGAGAGAGAGACAGAGAGAGAAAGAGAAAGAAAAGGAGAAAGATGAAGAGAAAGAGGGAAACAGATTCAGAGAGAGAGAAACCTCACCTCTTTTCGCCATGCGTCCAGCCACAGTGTACTGGGCCGAGTCGTTGGCGACCCCTCTCCCTCTGGTCTTCCACTGCTCCTCACTCTCCTGTAGAGTTTTCATGCGATCAGCCACCGACGCCTGTGGCAGCTCCTCCACTTCTACTGGTCTAGCCTGCTGCATGGTCAGAGACAGGGATCAGTGACCAGACAGTAACACCTACCAGTATGTGTGTGATTCTGTGGTTGTGGGTTTGTGTGTGTGTGTCTGTGTGTGTCACCTTCTGTCTCCATTGGGGCTGAGAGCGGGTCTGGGTGGGAGAGGAGACCTCCTGGGCCTCATAGGAAGAAATGGTCTGAGGAGGGAGAGAAAATAGGATACATGAAGGGGAACTACGCTAACACGTTTCACTGCAGTATCAACAGAACTCAAATCACAGCACTCAAACAAGTACATCGAAATGGAATATTGAGGGCAATGGCATGCAATGGACACACTTCACTCACACCTGAACGTGTGCTTGCACACACACTCACCTGATTGTAACACATGACATATTGAGGTGTACTGTTAGAATAGACAGAGGAAAAGACAGGGTCCTGGGAGGAGGAGAGGAGAGGAGGAGGAGAGGAGAGGAGGAGGAGAGGAGAGGAGGGAGATAAAGGAATAAGCCCAGGATTGAGTAAAACAAAATAGAATAGATATGATATGACTTGGACTTGCAGCATAGTCAACAAACCAGGGTCAAATGTTAGGTTGAAATAACCAAACACAGAGGTTTGTAGGCAATATGGTGAACTATGTAGGGAATAGGGTGCCACAGAGTCAGCACTCCGCTTACCCAGCACTGAGGGTTGACAGCTGGTGCATCATGGGAGATCTCACTGTCTTCCTACAGGGGGCAGCATGGGAGCATAGAGGGGGTGTGGTCAGCAAAGCCAAGAGAAAAAGAGGGTGAGAGGAGCGAGCGTAGCATAAAATGAGACGGCAAACAGGAGAAAGAGAGGGTGAAGGGTAATGAGATCCATCTACAAGGGTATGGAGGTCTCTCCTTCACACACACACAGCACGGAGAACTGTCAACACTGTCCAGCTAAGGGTGCCTAATGGGGTCAAGAGGGTTTTCATGGAAGCCTCTCAGTCTATCTGTTAACATACCATGTCATTCTGAGCCATTCAGCCCATTACTGGGCATTAGCACCATTAGGAGCTGCACCCATATCTAAGTAATGCAAGGTAGCTCTCAGAGATTGAACACATACCACAGTAAGTTATAGGGCTGGTGTAGAGGTGGTATGATATTAAACACATACCACAGTAAGTTATAGGGCTGGTGTAGAGGTGGTATGATATTAAACACATACCATAGTAAGATATAGGGCTGGTGTAGAGGTGGTATGATATTAAACGCATACCATAGTAAGATATAGGGCTGGTGTAGAGGTGGTATGATATTAAACACATACCACAGTAAGTTATAGGGCTGGTGTAGAGGTGGTATGATATTAAACACATACCACAGTAAATTATAGGGCTGGTGTAGAGGTGGTATAATATTAAACACATACCACAGTAAGATATAGGGCTGGTGTAGAGGTGGTATGATATTAAACACATACCACAGGAAGGTATAGGGCTGGTGTAGAGGTGGTATGATATTAAACACATACCACAGTAAGATATAGGGCTGGTGTAGAGGTGGTATGATATTAAACACATACCACAGTAAGGTATAGGGCTGGTGTAGAGGTGGTATGATATTAAACACATACCACAGTAAGGTATAGGGCTGGTGTAGAGGTGGTATGATATTAAACACATACCACAGTAAGGTATAGGGCTGGTGTAGAGGTGGTATGATATTAAACACATACCACAGTAAGGTATAGGGCTGGTGTAGAGGTGGTATAATATTAAACACATACCACAGTAAGATATAGGGCTGGTGTAGAGGTGGTATGATATTAAACACATACCACAGTAAGATATAGGGCTGGTGTAGAGGTGGTATGATATTAAACACATACAGTACCATAGTAAGATATAGGGCTGGTGTAGAGGTGGTATGATATTAAACACATACAGTACCATAGTAAGATATAGGGCTGGTGTAGAGGTGGTATGATATTAAACACATACAGTACCATAGTAAGATATAGGGCTGGTGTAGAGGTGGTATGATATTAAACACATACCACAGTAAGATATGGGGCTGGTGTAGAGGTGGTATGATATTAAACACATACCACAGTAAGATATGGGGCTGGTGTAGAGGTGGTATGATATTAAACACATACAGTACCATAGTAAGATATAGGGCTGGTGTAGAGGTGGTATGATATTAAACACATACCACAGTAAGATATGGGGCTGGTGTAGAGGTGGTATGATATTAAACACATACCACAGTAAGATATGGGGCTGGTGTAGAGGTGGTATGATATTAAACACATACAGTACCATAGTAAGATATAGGGCTGGTGTAGAGGTGGTATGATATTAAACACATACCACAGTAAGGTATAGGGCTGGTGTAGAGGTGGTATGATATTAAACACATACCACAGTAAGATATGGGGCTGGTGTAGAGGTGGTATGATATTAAACACATACAGTACCATAGTAAGGTATAGGGCTGGTGTAGAGGTGGTATGATATTAAACACATACCACAGTAAGGTATAGGGCTGGTGTAGAGGTGGTATGATATTAAACACATACCACAGTAAGATATGGGGCTGGTGTAGAGGTGGTATGATATTAAACACATACCACAGTAAGGTATAGGGCTGGTGTAGAGGTGGTATGATATTAAACACATACCATAGTAAGATATGGGGCTGGTGTAGAGGTGGTATGATATTAAACACATACCATAGTAAGGTATAGGGCTGGTGTAGAGGTGGTATGATATTAGGATGCTCCTTTGTTTTCAGTGGAATGGCAAAACTCAAACTCTGATATTAAGCACTCAGCTTTCTGAACTAGCCTACACAACATATCTGTTCTACCTTCAAGAACAAAAAGGACAGCTAACTAACTCCTCCTACCTGGCCACGTACTATCCACCTTTGTACTTTTCACCTTTTTCAAAATAGATATACTATTTCGATATAATTTTTGGCCAGTGTGCGGACAGCATCCCCTCTTTTGAAATGGCTCCCAAATCCAGGCCAATCTCCCCTGTGATTTGTCCCCCTGGTGACCCTCATCCTCCCCTCTTTCCCTGACTGACAGGTTAAACTAAACCCACTGGTTCCAGTCAGCCACCCAGAGATTACAAGGGGAAGCCAGGGCCTTTTCTCTGGGCTGGGCTGGTGTGGAGTGTTACAGTGGGGCCAAGCCATAGTATCACAGACCCTGGGGAGTAGGGATTGGCTGGGAGCCTCCTGTTGTGGCTCTATCTATCTATCTATCTATCTGACTGAGAAGGATGTGTCCACAGCTGTCCGCTGCTCTGCTTTCCAGGCTAAAACTGGATTTGCCTCATTGTGATTCTGAGCCTACATATTCAAGATGCTAAACACAAGTGCAGACCCAAATCAACTATAAACAGCCAACCAACTTGCTCCAAAACACATGAGCTCAGTCAGTCTGAGATTTCCAATGCAAATCAGTGATGTCAGCATCCATCCACTGCCCACCATTCCCAGTACATGCCTGCTATGACTAAGGTGTCTATGTGTGTGTTTCAACTAAGGAGAGGTCCAGTAAGATGGCCGCTGGTCTTACCTTTCTCTGGTCCGCCAAGGTCACCTGGACGTGTTGTCTGGGAGGGGTGTCTCTCCTCATTAAGCTACCCCTCTCCTCCTCTTCCTCCTCCCTGGAAGCATCTGACAGCCTGCACAGAGACAGAGGGGAGGTCTAAGAAATAGTCATGCAAATTTCTATCTCGTGCGTATGCTCGCTCGCGCACACACACACACAGGGTCACAACGTTCCCTCAACGTTCACACACAAACACATAATTTAAAAGGCCTGTGTGTTGGCTCTTGTGTTAGTTGTGTACCTGTCTCTCCCAGAGGTGTTCACAGGGGGGTCCATTTGCCCTCTCTGTTCAGCCAGGGAAGGCCTCTCCTCCTGGGGGTGACCCTGCTCTGAGGATGGCCTGGCTGGGGCACACATGGCCACCGTCTCCCTCCTGTTCCTGTTCCTCTGTCTCCAGGGGGCAGAGGAGGCTGGTCTCTCTCTACGAGGCACGGGTACATTATCATGTCTCACTGCCCTCCTCTCCTCCACCCCGTTCCCTCTCTCCCCTCCTCCGTTCTGGTCCTGCTGTCTGTCCTCCCATACAATGTCTCTGTCTGGGTCCCATTCTGGTCCTGCAGAGGGGCTCTTCATCAGGATGCCTCTGATCTCTCCTGGCTCAGAGTCCCAGCGCTGCTGCAAGCCCTGCTGGGACGGGTCAGGTCCTGTGTTTGGCTCCACGTCGGCCTCGGGTCGAGTCTGGGCCTGATGCACCTCGAAGGGCCTCAGGTTGACGGACAGCTCCTGCTGCCGGTCGGAGAGGGTGGGGGACAGGCGCAGTGGGGGCAGCTGGATGGGGCCTTTCTGGAGCTGAGGGAGGACATGGAGAGGAGAATGTTGTCAGAGACATGGAGATGATAGATTCTACTCATCACAATAGTGTAAATTAGTATGAAAACTATAAAAAGAAGAGGTTACTACATATTTCTGAGTCATCATTTTGGACCTGTCTAATTTTAGTGTGAATTGGGCGCTAGTATAGTGTTACCCTCTGGACAGTGGTATGGTCAATATTGGCTTGATACTGATCAATTAAAACTATTGATCAATCCAGTGCTCACAACAGTTAGAGGCACAGAGCGTGACATTTAATTTTGTGTACTTACTCACATACTCATGCTCACGTCAACATCCAGTATACACACACACACACACACACACACACACCACTCATACACACACTGAATCACCTGTGTCACAATCTACATTTCTCAGTTAAAGAAAGATACACACACACAATTGCCAATGTCATCTCTAATATTCTCTCTTCCATTCCTCTGAGGATGTCTTGGTCCCACACACACTCACCAGGCTGACCTCCTCCACAGTGATTGGCTGTGTGCGGTAGCGTGCCCCCTTCTGCCTGCGTCTCTCCGGGGGGGCATCAGGAGGGGCGTCCCCCTGGCTCCCTGGCAGGGACAGCTTGTTGAACAGAGCCAGCTTCTCACTCATAGTCAGCTTACTGTTCTCATCGTCCTCCACCGCCTCCGCCTCGGCCTGCACAGCCTTGGCCTCGCCTGACTCCGCTGGCTGGGGGGTGCTGCAGGGACATGGGGTAGATAGATAGGAGAAGAAGAGTGGTGAATGGAAGTCATGGATGAATAGTTAAAACAGAGAAACAGCCCTGTTAATTAAAATGTGTATTGACGGAACTGTGGAACACAATGTGAGATATTTTTAATGCGTGGCAGTAAATTAGTGTTTTAGCCTCCTCTCTGACTGCTCCCTGTTCCAATTAGAGGCAGGAATCTCTCTGTCCAACTCAGTAAAGGACACATGTAGTTAGCCAGATGGGACGCCATTATGAGTGAACAAACCCTACCAGCTCTAGGTTTTCAATAGAAAACTGTGCAATATTAAACCTGTTAAATGTAATGGCAAAATGTAGATTTCTGCCTAAATAGACATACCCAAAAGTAATTATTTATCATGAGAGGGCCATAAACAATACTTAGTAATGCTTATACCGCAAGAAAGATTACAATCTCACCTTTCTGGTAAAAATAGTTATAAATTGCTGAGGAGTAGTCACTTTTCAGGACACAAGCTCAAGTACACAGTACAAATATGAAAATGTGAAATATTTTATATGATGTATTTTCTATTCAACAAAACTGTATAAGGCTTGAAATAACTTATATGCATTCTAAATATAGTACAATCAAGTTATAAAACGACTAACTATAAGATTTCGCCTTCATTATAATGGTGAAATACATATTTTTATGTTTAGTATTAGAAAAAGGTCTCTCTTGATTAAAACTTCTGCCCCCCACCCTTCTGAACATCGCACAGGGCTCTAGCATGACTTCCTGAACTCGTTATGAAATGGCCTTTCATCTCATATTGTCCATCTATGACAAACATAAAGTGTTTTTTATTTAAAATCTATGAATTATTTTAGATTACTTTGATAACGTTGGCTTTAAATCGATATCCGAATGTGCTAGAGCGACGAACCTACAGAAACCGTATACCATAAACCGTTTCACAACTATAATCAGTTATGATCTCATGACCTGCCTTCCATGTGGATTCCACAACCCACTGGGCAAGGAATTTGAATGTGTGAGAGGCCAATGTTTTTTGCATACTGTCTGCCAACACGTCACTGCCCACAGATACAATATCTCCTTGTCCATTGACCATCGAGGTGTGACTCTTGACCCTGCTCACCTGGTGGCCACCACCATCTCCTCACAGGTGATTGGCTGAGTGAGTGAGCGGTGCTCGTTGCCGCGTCGTACTCTGCGTTCAGACGTGACGCTGCCAGAGCGAGGCTTCAGAAAGGAGGAGGCCTCAGGGGCTGCTGTCTTCTCTAGCTCCTGCAACAGAGAGAAAGAGGGAGAAGAGAGAAAGAAAGAGAGAGAGAAATAGTCATTCATAACATTTATGTTGATATTTGATACATAATATCTGACCATTACATGTTGCACAATAATACCTTTGCCACCGGTGTATAATAGACATTTAGATCAAACAGAGCATACAATGTCCTTATTGTGATCGAGATGTAGTTGTCCCTGATTGCACTGACTTTGCTCACAGCTGCTTGTTTGAAGAAGTGTACTTACTGTGATCAAGATGTGGTTGTCCCACTGGCTATCCTAAGTTGAATGCACCAATTTGTAAGTCGCTCTGGATAAGAACGTCTGCTAAATGACTTAAATGTAAATGTAAAATAATGGTTGAAATGACTGTCTCACTCTACTGAAAAAATAACAGGAGAAACGACAGAAATGTCCTCTCCTTTTTCATATCTTTCATTGAAACTCTCTCTCTTTCCTGGCATGTGAATGGAGGTGCATTACTATAGGCAGCGGAAGTGGGTCAGTTAGCTGGTGAATAAACCAGGGATCTGTAAGTTGCTGTGGGTAGCCTACGTAAGGAGGTAGAGGAGAGGGATAGAATGCCAGGTCTGCAGGTCACAGTGTAACCAGAGCTCCCTCAGTAGCGTACCATTACCTCTCTGGCCCTCCCCTCAATCCCCTCCCTCCTGGCCCTGCCTCCCTCCTCCACCAGCCAGCCTGACAGGAGCTAGCTATAGGCTAATTATAACCACCTGTTAATGGCTGTTCATGGCTTTATAGTCCCTTTATAACCACCTGGCTCCCCTGGGGGGGGGGGGGGGGGGGGGGGGGGGGGGCTGGTTGGTTGCTAATGTTTTGAATTTCAGTAAAGGTGGATCACTAGGATCCCATTTCAAAGTAAACACAGAGAAGGAAACCCATTAGCAGTCCTCCTGAGAAATGTTTGAACTATAGCCTGGGACTATAGCTAAATTAGATTGATTAACAAGACAGACTGCCAAAGGCTACATAAACAATAAAACATTGACCAATGGGAGTAAACTAAGAACAGCAGGGTCCATCTGCATGCACTCTGTGGTCTGGCTTCCTATATTACACTCTTTCTGCAGATGTAATTTAGGCACCATGTACCAATATATAGTACAGTACTATTATACAAGGCCCTGTCTGGATCAGAGAGCAGCACCTGTTTGGCCATTCATATTCCTCAACATTCGTTCGGCGTGTTCAGTTCTGCATGCTCAGCTCAGCCTGTTGGCTCATCATGTGTTGCTCCATGACTGTAAGGTGAGCAGTCTCTCTCTCTCTCTCTCTCTCTCTCGTCCTCTCTCTCTCTCTCTCTCTCTCTCTCTCTCTCGCTCTCTCTCTCTCTCTCTCTCTCATCTCTCTCTCTCTCTCTCTCTCTCTCTCTCTCTCTCTCTCTCTCTCTCTCTCTCTCTCTCTCTCTCTCTCTCTCTCTCTCTCCTCTCTCAACATGGGCTCTGTTGTTTCTGTTGATGTGCAGTGGTGAGACATAAGCCCTGTGTAGCCCCCCTGGTCTCCATGGTGATGACCTTTTGTGGTCAGGCATGGAGACGGACAGCATGGTACAAGGGAACAGGAGCGGGGTCCTGGGAGGAGTTCCTGTTTCACAGCCAAGGCTGAGATAGATGGACGTGCTTACTTTAAACAGAGACATCTTGGCCGCCACACTCATCTTGGCTCTGTCGTCTGTCTTCACATCAGCTGGGGGGAAAATACATTACATTAAATATATACATAAAGTCAGGCAAACTGAGGTAAATGCATTAGAGGTAAGTACATACACACTCAAAGACACACCTTGTTAAAATGCAAAATGCCTGTCAGCCTGTCTGTGTCATCAGCAGGGATATCATTTTGGCATCATTGAGCCTGTCAAACACATTAACCCGAACCCTCTAAATAAAAATAGGCAAACAAAAAATTGAACAGCACCCCACTCACCTTATGATCATATAGCGAACTCACAGTCCCTGTCATACAGCAAAAACTGTTAACCTGCTTATAGTAGTCCAGAGAGGCTACCTGTCAGTCAAGCTGCGACACAATGAGATAGACAGATCTCTGTGACTGATCCATTCATGTGAGGCCATCGCCCTGCTTGTTGTCCTGCACCTGGCATTCACTACACTGTCACATGGCACCACCACCACTATCTCTCAGCTGGCACTGCTAGCTGGCTACTTCCTCTCACCTGGCCTGAACTTAATGACCACACAGCTCATCCTTTTGACCAGGCAGTTGGGCAGTTGGTCAGCATCGCTGATCGTGTGAGTGTCAACTGTCTCTGTTGTTTCTAACAATGCTCTCAATGGCTATGTAATCATGTATTTTAGGTGGACATACAAATGAATGTATGAGAGAGAACTTATTGGACAGCTACTGTGTAGAAGTGGGGACAATTTTTATAGTGGCGGTAAGGAGCTTTTATGGCTCATAAATCCATCCCTACAGAGGAACTTCAACATTCTACCGTCACCCTGTGCCCATCTGGGTCTGGTGGACTGTTTAAAAATAAAAGCCCTTGATTTATTTTATGTTCTGTTTATTATAGATGTTCTATAAAGGCAGCTCTGGAGCTGGGGTTGAGTGTAAGTAGAGGTCAGAGTATATTCATTAGGTTTACTGTTATAAACGTACTGTTATACAGTAACTATTAGTTGATATAGGTTTGTGCGTTTATATTATCGGTTGATTTTGAGTGAAAATAGAAAAAACTGTTATTCCTTCTGACCCGGTGTTGTCCGCCCCCTTTTCGTCTGTCTGTCTGTCTGTCTGTCTGTCTGTCTGTCTGTCTGTCTGTCTGTCTGTCTGTCTGTCTGTCTGTCTGTCTGTCTGTCTGTCTGTCTGTCTGTCTGTCTGTCTGTCTGTCTGTCTGTCTGTCTGTCTGTCTGTCTGTCTGTCTGTCTGTCTGTCTCTCAGCTACTGTGTGATGACAGAGCCTATTACAGCAGCCTGCTGAGCCATTTTATCTTTGCCACCTCCTATCTCTCATGTCGGCATTTCTGTGATAGAGAGAGAGGGGGGGGAGAGAGAGAGAGAGAGAGAGAGAGGGGTGGGGGGAGAGTGAGAGGGGGGGAGAGAGAGAGAGCGAGAGAGAGAAAGAGAGAGAGCACCTGCTCTTCTTTGTCACTGTGTTAAACATTATCCCTGGCAAGCCACACAGCACTATGCCTGTGACCCCCCCTCTCTCTCTCTCTCTATTTCGCTCTCTCTCTCTCTGTTTCTCTCTCTCTCTCTGTGTTCCTCTCTGTCCCTCTCTCTCTCTAGCTGTGTCTCTGTCCCTCCCTCCCCCCACTCAGTTAACACAGAGGCAGTACAGAGGCAGTCCAATAGGCCATGGATCAGCCGTTTGTGTGTGGCAAACAAAAACAGGCCATGTGACCCCAGGTGGGCGGGGTTCGTTACCTTTAGCGTTCTCCTCTTCCTCTGCTTCTAGCAGCCTGTGGGACAGAGAGAGAGAATCAACACAAGGTCATTGGCTGAAACATGCACACAAGACAAAAGATGAGAGGAGTTTGACCATGCTTATTCCTGCCTGGTATAATTCTCTCTTTTCACTCTCTCTCCATTGTCTGTGTGGGTTACTGTATCTCACACACAGGCCCAGGCTCCTGTGCCATATCTGCATGCTCAACATAGCAACACTGTTCATGTCATGGTTTTGGTATTAAGCGCCATTAACAGATGCAAACATACATGCAAATCATGCCTCTTGCCAGTGTACCAAGGGCAATTATTTCAATACATAACCACAAGAAGAAATGCTCCTCTATGAGAGGACAGTAAATATCTGGAAAGCATTTACATGCATGGAAACCATTATCACACACTATCAAAACAACGCATCAGCAAAAAAACAACAACCCTGCAATGGCACAAAACACTGCAAACCTCTCCACCTGAAGAGTAACCAAACTACGGCAGAGTCTTCCAGATGAGCCCCAGGCTTGACCTGCATGCTCTGATATGATATGGTTGATACGGCGGGCCGCAGCACACAGTCCCTACCCGCCGCTCTCCTGCACCTCACAGGCTGTGATCGGCTGTGTCCTGAAGCGCTCGTTGGTTTTGCGGCCCCCGCCTGACACCCCAGGGAGGTAGCGACGGGTGCGCCGCCGTCCCCCCTCCGAGCCCGGCTTAACAGCCAGGTCAAGGGAAGAGGCCGCAAGGCCACTGTCAGGGCTACTATTCCCAACCACAGAGGAACAGGGTGAGCATCAGGAGAGAAAGGGAGAGAGAGATAGTGAGAGACTGGAAGCAGTGGGACAACTCCCACTAACACACACTGTAGACGTATACAAACAGAGACAAATAGAAGATTTCACAAAGAGACTGACACCCACACATATTCAGAATAACAACACACACACAGGCCGTTTCATGCAGGAGACCCTACACTTTCTCAGGCTGTGTTCCAGTTCCGGTCTGCTGCAGCAGGGCACTCCTCAGCTGGCCCACCGACACCCGCGTTTGCAGCTGGGCCGAGTCGGGTCCAGGGGGGCCTGGGGGAGCTAGGGGCTTCCCCCCACTCAACATGCCGGCAGAGCCAGAGGAACACTGCCTGGAGGCGGGGGAGGAGGGAGGTAGGTGGCGTAAGGAAAGTGGCAAACTACCACAACACTGCCAATTCCTAAAGAGCAACCTTGACAAAGTATTGTATCTCTTAAAGGAAAGGGAGTCCAGGTCAGTAGGGTATAAAACACACATGGAGGAATCAATGTGATCTCTGCTGTACTAGTACTGCACCCCGCTGGGAGCCAGGTTTAGCTCTCTCTGCTTGAATTAGCAACAAACGCCATAAAGCACAGGTGAACTCTGACAACTGTTTTACGGGGCTGAAAGGTCACATGAGAGAATGTTCACTGGAGAAGGAGCTTGGTGACTGAATGGGGGTTGTTTTAAGAGGTGGTTACACATAATATGGTTGTTTCTATTCATCAATCTGTAGTTAGGGAACAGGGAAAAGGCCATTCTGTTGTAGCTGTTACTCTACGTGGCCTGATATTGTATAACACAACAATTCACTGATGGCCAGTAGGCATTACCTGCACACTTTCAGCATAACTAGGTTCAGTGGTCTGAGTCAGCATGTAGTGTGACATCATACACAGAAACAAAGGGAATTGTCAGTGTATGCAACCTGTCTGCTGCATCACTCTTTGTTCACTTGTGTTCCTGATGGGGTTGAGAAGGGTCTCCACTACTGATCGGCTACACATGGAAGGGACTCACCTTTGGAGGTATGTTGGGTCTGCAGAAGTGTCTGCCTCAAAGCCGTTGGAGACTCTCCGAGGTTCTGACTCCAGAGGGGTGCTGCTCTCCCAGTGGAGGCCCCTCCTGCCCCCCTCCAGCCCCCCTGCTCTGCCGTTCACCCCCCCAGAGAGGGTCCTGTCTGTGGAGGGAGGAGCACCGTCTGAGTTCATGAGAGTCCCATCCCTCCTCACCCACTTGGATGGGAGCTCCTCCATGTTGCCATAGCGTTCTTGCAGCTCCCGCCTCCTCTCGGCCTTGTAGCGGGCGATCCGCTCCGATCTGGGCTCCAAGGCGGGGTTCTCCATAGTGTCCATGCTGCCTGTAACTCTCCCTGTCTGTCCGTAAGTCAGAAGGTCTCAGTAGGTCTCCTTTAACAATGACCTGGGCATTGATGACTCAAACCTCAAGAGATTCCCTCCTACGTCACTTCTCAGCTATCAAACACCAAAGGATAAATGGAGGTTCAAAAACCAAATCCTCCTCCAGTAAGTTAGTGTGTGCTCTAATCAACTGCAAACACCAGTAAGATATTCTAAAGTGCTTCACCAATCATAAGGTCCAAAGTTGGCATGTGGAACCAATCAGCACCTCCGTTGTTGGCATTGGGAATGTCTTCTTCCAATCAGTAGACTGTCAGACAGACAAATCATTCCTTTGAGCTCATCGCACTGCTGAGACAGAGGGCGCAATAGAAAAATCAGATAACTGTGCAATCTCACTTTCACAATCAGTTAGCCACACATTCATTCCCTACCAGTTGAATAATTGATTGTTTGTTTCACATCCGTATGTTCTTCAGTAAGTTAATCACTACGACATAAACATACCACCAGCCTACAAGTGCACTATTAAATCAAATAACATGACGCTATGATGAAACAAAAAGCTAAAGAATTTACAGTAGCCAGAATTTACACAAGTCTCTCTCACACCCACATAGCATTGAACCCAAACAAACCATACCTAGTTAAAATGTCCCTTATAAAATCAGCGTCATGCTTCATCTCATTTTATAGCAGCATGCCATCTGTAGACAACCAGCTACATTATAATTGCCCCCTCTTTTTCTTCCCATGTCGCCCGTCTCTCTCTCTTCTCTCTCTCTCGCTCCTCTTTCCTGCTGAAGCCCTGTAAGATGACCTGTTGTAGGCTGCTCTGCAAGGCAGGAATCTCCCCTTGCACTGAAACCCTATACCACCGCCAGCCAGCCATCCAGCCAGTCAGCTCCACTTCAGTCCTACAGTACGTGGCTGACTTTCTGAAGGTTTCCCCTCCAGTAGAATTCCACTGGTGATCATTAAGGTTGGACCAGATCAGTCCCTCTTGCTTCCAACGTTAGTTAGTGCTTCCTATGTTAGCGAGCTGAAAAGTTGGAGACATTGTCCGGCAAGTACTAAGTTCACTAACTAAACAAAAGATTACATTTACAAAGTAAATTATATCTCAATAGGCCTACCCAGAGATGGTATAGTTCGCTGGTTGTTCAAACCCAGTCATGGTTTATGTAAGCTACAGTATTCATTCTGATCCTCTACCAATAACATGGTACTTAACATGTCATTGGGAATGTACACTACAAGACCAAAAGTATGTGGACACCTGCTCGTCGAACATCTAATTCCAAAATCATGGGCATTAATATGGAATTGGTCCCCTCTCTGCTGCTATGACAGCCTCCACTCTTCTGGGAAGGCTTTCCACTAGATGTTTTAACATTGCTGCGTGGACTTGCTTCCATTCAGACACAAGAGTATTAGTGAGGTCAGGCACTGATGTTGGGCGATTAGGCCTGGCTCGCAGTCGTCCAATTCATCCCAAACGTGTTCAATGGGGTTGAGGTCAGGGCTCTGTGCAGGCCAGTCAAGTTCTTCCACACCGATCTCAACAAAACATTTCTGTATGGACCTCGCTTTGTGCACGGGGGCATAGTCATGCTGAAACAGGAGAGGGCCTTCCCCAAACTGTTGCCACAAAGTTGGAAGTACATAATTGTCTAGAATGTCATTGTACGCTGTAGCGTTAAGATTTCCCTTCACTGGAACTAAGGGGCCTAGCCTGAACCATGAAAAACAGCCGTACAAGCCGAATCACGTGAAGCGTGATTCATCACTCCAGAGAACGCGTTTCCACTGCTCCAGAGTCCAATGGCGAAGAGCTTTACACCACTCCAGCCAACGCTTGCTATTGCACATTGTGATCTTAGGCTTGTGTGCGGCTGCTCTGCCATGGAAACCCATTTCATGAAGCCCCCGACGAACAGTTCTTGTGCTGACGTTGCTTCCAGAGGCAGTTTGGAACTCGGTAGTGAGTGTTGCAACCGAGGACAAACGATTTTTACGCGCTACGCACTTCAGCACTCAGCGGTCCCGTTCTGTGAGCTTGTGTGGCCTACCACTTCGCTGTTGAGCCATTGTTGCTTATAGACGTTTCCACTTCACAATAACAGCACTTACAGCTGACTGGGGTGGCTTTAGCAGGGCAGAAATTTGACAAACTGACTTGTTGGAAAGGTGGCATCCTATGACGGTGCCACGTTGAAAGTCACTGAGCTCTTCAGTAAGGCCATTTTACTGCCAAAGTTTGTCTATGGAGATTGCATGGCTGTGTGCTCGATTTTGTACACCTGTCAGCAACAGCTGTGGCTGAAATAGCCGAATCCACTAATTTGAAGGGGTGTCCACATACTCTTGTATATACAGTGAGGGAAAAAAGTATTTGATCCCCTGCTGATTTTGTATGTTTGCCCACTGACAAAGATATGATCAATCTATAATTGTAATGGTAGGTTTATTTGAACAGTGAGAGACAGAATAACAACAAAATAATCCAGAAAAACACTTGTCAAAAATGTTATAAATTGATTTGCATTTTAATGAGGGAAATAAGTATTTGACCCATCTGCAAAACATGACTTAGTACTTGGTGGCAAAACCCTTGTTGGCAATCAAAGAGGTCAGACGTTTCTTGTAGTTGGCCACTAGGTTTGCACACATCTCAGGAGGGATTTTGTCCCACTCCTCTTTGCAGATCTTCTCCATGTCATTAAGGTTTCGAGCCTGAAGTTTGGCAACTCGAACCTTCAGCTCCCTCCACAGATTTTATATGGGATTAAGGTCTGGAGACTGGCTAGGCCACACCAGGACCTTAATGTGCTTCTTCTTGAGCCACTCCTTTGTTGCCTTGGCCGTGTGTTTTGGGTCATTGTCATGCTGGAATACCCATCCATGACCCATTTTCAATGCCCTGGCTGAGGGAAGGAGGTTCTCACCCAAGATTTGACGGTACATGGCCCCGTCCATCGTCCCTTTGATGCGGTGAAGTGGTCCTGTCCCCTTAGTAGAAAAACACCCCCAAAGCATAATGTTGCCACCTCCATGTTTGACGGTGGGGATGGTGTTCTTGGGGTCATAGGCAGCATTCCTCCTCCTCCAAACACGGCGAGTTGAGTTGATGCCAAAGAGCTCAATTTTGGTCTCATCTGACTACAGCACTTTCACCCAGTTCTCCTCTGAATCATTCAGATGTTCATTGACAAACTTCAGACGGGCCTGTATATGTGCTTTCTTGAGCAGGGGGACCTTGCGGGCGCTGCAGGATTTCAGTCCTTCACGGCGTAGTGTGTTACCAATTGTTTTCTTGGTGACTATGGACCCAGCTGCCTTGAGATCATTGACAAGATCCTACCGTCTAGTTCTGGGCTGATTCCTCACCGTTCTCATGATCATTGCAACTCCACGAGGTGACATCTTGCATGGAGCCCCAGGCCGAGGGAGATTGACAGTTATTTTGTGTTTCTTCCATTTGCGAATAATCGCACCAACTGTTGTCACCTTCTCACCAAGCTGCTTGGCGATGGTCTTGTAGCCCATTCCAGCCTTGTGTAGGTCTACTAACTTGCCCCTGACATCCTTGGAGAGCTCTTTGGTCTTGGCCATGGTGGAGAGTTTGGAATCTGATTGATTGCTTCTGTGGACAGGTGTCTTTTATACAGGTAACAAACTGAGATTAGGAGCACTCCCTTTAAGAGTGTCATGCACCTGTATAAAAGACACCTGGGAGCCAGAAATCTTTCTGATTGAGAGGGGGTCAAATACTTATTTCCCTCATTAAAATGCAAATCAATTTCTAACATTTATGACATGCGTTTTTCAGGATTTTTTTGTTGTTATTCTGTCTCTCACTGTTCAAATAAACCTACCATTAAAATCATAGACTGATCATTTCTTTGTCAGTGGGCAAACACACAAAATCAGCAGGGGATCAAATACTTTTTTCCCTCACTGTATAGTGTATGTCCCTAGAAATGTCCCTGAGCAGGACTGTCCATACTCACTCATCTGACAGTCTAATTTCTCTCTCAACAAGCACACACATGCAAAACCTCCATCCTGGTTAGTAGGTTGTCTGGCTGTTTGAACACAAACAAGGATCTGAACCACTAACCATATATAAATAATGACATCAACACATTTGTATTCTCAATCAGTAGGGACTTGAGCCATTGGCTAGGCCGCCGAAAATTGGTGTGGGTGTGTGTGTGTCCTGAAATGGCTAAATGTTAGCGTCAGCATTCCTGTCCCTTTCCCCCCACAGCTGAAACACAATGGGGCCTATGGAACAATGAGCGGAGAGCCATGGGACTCATAGGACTTAGTACAGCAGAGGTACTGCAGGCCTAAAGGGCACTGTACTCTGTGGTCGTCTGTAACAGTCATGGTTTCACCATCACCATAAACAGATAAACACAGACATTTGTTACACTGTAGATACACCACTTGCTCTGGGAGTATTGGGAATGGTGTGAGACAGTGTCTTCCAGATTGCCATTGCAAGCTTATACAGTGGGGAGAACAAGTATTTGATACACTGCCGATTTTGCAGGTTTTCCTACTTACAAAGCATATAGAGGTCTGTAATTTTTATCATAGGTACACTTGTGAGAGAGGTACACAACTGTGAGAGACGGAATCTAAAACAAAAATCCAGAAAATCACATTGTATGATATTTAAGTAATTAATTTGCATTTTATTGCATGACATAAGTATTTGATCACCTACCAACCAGTAAGAATTCCGGCTCTCACAGACCTGTTAGTTTTTCTTTAAGAAGCCCTCCTGTTCTCCACTCATTACCTGTATTAACTGCACCTGTTCGAAGTCGTTACCTGTATAAAAGACACCTGTCCACACACTCAATCAAACAGACTCCAACCTCTCCACAATGGCCAAGACCAGAGAGCTGTGTAAGGACATCAGGGATACAATTGTAGACCTGCACAAGGCTGGGATGGGCTACAGGACAATAGGCAAGCAG